ATATTGGACCGTACTAAACTCTTGTATATAGTGAAATAATATTTTTAATATTGATTTTTAAATTTTTAGTTCTTAAATTAATTTGAAAATAGTGAAAACCAATATAATTTCACCACTTGGTGAATGTTTAGTGTATCCTTAACTAACAACCTGACACCATGAGATAAATTTGGAAGCCATAAACTCAATCTCAGTTTTTTCCAACAAGAATGTCCAGCTATAAACGAGGTTTTATTGACTTTTCCACCTCCTATGTCCTCTTTCTGGAGGTTGCCTTTCCATTAATTAATTGTTGGAAGTTATTCCATTAAAAGGTAAACATAATATGGCAAAACATGTTGAGTATATAGTTCAAAATTGTAAGCACTTGTTTATATATTTCTATTAATGAACATTTTGGAAATAATAAATTATATTTTATAATGAAAACTATTGCTATGCATTTATTTTTAATATATTTGCAAATAATAAATATTTTTAAAATTTTATTAATGAAAATATATTTATATTATATAAATTTATACCATTATTTCATTCATTTTCAAAAAGTAATTAATTTTCATATTTAGAAAAATGAATTATGTAAGAATCTAGAAAATGGAGTATTAGAGTAGATAAGTGTATTGAAATAATGAGACTGGATATTTTATTATCAAATAACCTTATAATATAAATAGAACTTTATAAAGTTTGGTTCATTGTCTAAAATACTTCTATCTCTCTAAACACTGTTCTTTTCTCTTTCTCTCACTTCTCTCTACTTTTTTTCACTCTCGAGGTATCTGTTTGACGATCAGGGAGTACCTAGACGATCCTGGCATCAAGGACTACCATATCTACCGATCAATTTCCTGTTTTGAGCCTGTAAGTTGTTTCTCCTCTTTTTCCGTACGTTCTTGGACCATGATCATGCAACGATTCCTGTTTGCATGTATCTGGTTGTTTTCTCTTCAATTTCTATCTCATTTTAGGTCCTAAAGTTGACTTCTTATCACCAATCGGTGAGTTATAGATTTCTGTAGAGTTTCCTTGAGGCACAAGTTTCAAGTTGAGGCTTTCTAGAGTTGGATAGTATTTTTCTGAGGTAAGGAAAGCTGGATTTTATCTCTATTTATTTCACTATATTGTGCATGTGTGAAGAGTATGTTAGTTATATATATAATGAGTTGAATTGTTGACTTTGATGTTAGAATGAATGTGCTTACGTGGCTGTTGTAAGTGTGTATGAAGAAACTATGAATATGAACTGATTTGGATGATGATTTTGATGTTATATACTAGATGAAATGTTAAAATTTGTTATATGAGATTGACTTATGAGAAATTTGAATGAAGTATACTAGTTTTAGGTAAGTTTTGAGGAAGCGGGGTAGTGAAATTGTGAACTAGGAGTTGTAGGCTTTATTGATAAGTTATAATAGGTTAGATAGGTCAATTAGGACTTGCTTGAGTCCTTAAGTGGCTGAAAGTAGTGCCAAAAGTGGTAGAATGAGATTTGAGTCTCTAAGTTGATGAATTTGATTATTTGGAGTAGAAATTGTCTATAAAATGCCTTAGATTGATGGTAGGAAGGTTTAAAATCAATCAGTCAAATCTAATTAGGTGTATAACATGAATTAGGATGGTTAAAAGTTGGGAAAAATAGTTACAATTGGTAAAGGGTGTTGAGCTGCATAATTTTGCAGAATTTGATGCTGTAGATTATGCAGACTCGCTAAGCAAATGGATTCGCACAGCGAGTCACCCTGGTGGATGCTCTCTGATTTATTTATTTAAGATTATCTCGATTTTCTAATCTAAAATAACATCGGTTTGCATCTACTCGAATAATATTGTATTATTTTGATTAAGACATATTAACCATGGGAAATGATTATTAAATTAAACTAATAACTAAAACAACATTAAGTAAATTAATTTAGGTTAGTTAAGGTATTTATCTATATTGATGAGATCTATGAAAGTAAAAGTGTATAAATATTATAAAATTAACACAAAGTAAATTAATTTAGATTAATTAAGATATTTATCTATTGATGAGATTTATCAAATCAAAGTAAAAGTGTATAAACATAGTAAAAATAACATAGTATGAGTTAAATTATTTACATTCATTATTATAATATTTATTGTAATCTAGATTAGTTACTTAAGCATTGAAGTATTTTTAGCATCCAAATTCTATTTTAATTTGAAACAGATCTAAAAACGTTTTGACTCAAAAATTGTAAAGTTTGTTAAAGAATGTTGGTGGAAGTCTTCATAAAATATATTAGATCTTATAAAAATATTTTATTTAATTCTTATTTTTTTAAATAACTCTCATGGTAAATTTTTTGTTGTGAAATTGTATTCTTACAACATGGTACTGTTAACTTATAAAAAAAATTAACATTTTTTTCATTAAAATAAAATAAAATAAAATAATTCTATATGACCAAATATATCCTACAAAACATTCCAAAGACTCAAAGTTTGCAACTTCAAGAATACTTAGTTCCTTTCTAGCTTGTTATTTATATTATTGTTTATAAATTTTTTTATCTGGATAAATCTGATTCATGTTACTAATTATTCATCTTAGTATTTAGTTAATCCATGTGTTTAATCTTATTTTAGTTACAATCTTAAACTAATAAACTAAATCAATATTTTTTAATTATCGATTTTGGTTGGCGAACATATATTTGGCAACTGAGATGGTATAGGATCACTAAGAGAATTGAATAGTGAAGTATGTACTAAGAAATATATGATAAAAGATTATAAAAAATTTAAAATCTTAAATATTTTAATTTCATTATTTTATTTTAATCTGAATGATTCGTGGAGGAGGCAAAAAGGTCACTATAGAGGGTAGTCCCACTCGTGAAACCAGCGGCAGCAAGGTGCCTTCCCAAAATAGTAATAGCGAATCGCATCTTATCCACCATTGGATCGTCATCATTCAAGGGCAAAACGATAAATCTCACACTGTATAACCGTTTTCGGAAATGGGGGGCATTGTGAACGTTATCGCTTGTTAGCACTAATATACATCATTATGATATAAACTATAGTAAGTATGAAGATGTTGAAATTACAAGTATGTCCTCTGAGACGTGTCCTCTTAAACAGAGCGGGTAGGAACAAGAGAGCGCGTGGAAGTTGCAGAGAACCCCTTACTTGTCTTTCCCGCGGCTATTAAATGAGGGTCCTCTAACAGCACGCAGACATTATGCTGCACTTCAACAAAGAAGAAAGAGAAAGTGCGGCCATTAATGTACTCTCTCAAGTCTCAACTACCTCCTATCCAACGCTAAAAACAAACAACTAGTAGAAGAAGAAGTACTGCGTCTACATTCATTCCTAATCACACAAGGCGTTCTGGACTCTCTTACTTTTTTCAGTGGCGGTGGGAGGGCGCAATGTGGAACTCTGCGGAGAACGCCTTCGCCAGATCGGCCTCCTTCAGGGAGCAAGGGGAAGACGAGGAGGCGCTGCGCTGGGCGGCGCTGGAGAGGCTCCCTACTTATAAACGAGCGCGCCGGGGAATCTTCAAGAATCTCACTGGTGACATGAAGGAGATCGACGTTAGAGATCTCCAGTCGCAGGACCAGCGCCTTCTTCTTGAAAGGCTCGTCGACTGCGTCGACAATGATCCTGAGATCATCTTCCACCGCATGAGAAGTCGATTCAACGCGTAATCTCTCTCTTTCTCTTGTTGCCATATTCTAGAGTAACTGAGTAGCAGGACTTGCGATTCTAAGTCAATTACAGTTGACAATACCGGTGTTTGTTCTTTGCTTACAATTATTACTGCTTCTTCTCGATCTTTCAGTTTAAATATTATCAGAATGTAGGTGGTAAATTTTGCTGAATGTGTTTTACTGGATGCTGAACTCCGCAGAGTAGGTTTGGAGTTTCCGAAAATTGAAGTTCGATTTCAGAACTTGACTGTTGAGACTTACGTACATGTCGGTAGCAGAGCTCTGCCAACTATTCCTAATTTCATTTGTAACATGACGGAGGTGCTTACTTTTTCTCACCTTTCATTCCCTAATTTGTAATATCTTCCTTTTCATGCTTTTCCTGTTTGGAACGTGGTTCTAATATTACATGTGTAATTAGGCTCTTTTAAGGCAGTTGCTGATATACAGAAGGAAGAGAAGCAAATTGACAATTCTAGCGGACATCAGTGGGATTATTAGACCTTCAAGGTCAGTGTTGAGATAAGTAATGTGGTAAAAAAAAAAATCCACGGTCACCACGGCCAGATTCACTAGTATAATGTTCCTTTAAATCCATGTGCTTAATTAATAAAGTTTTTTTTTCTCGATATTCATACAATTTTTTGTTTTAGGCTCTGCATTGGACCTTGACACATGCATTTATAATTAACTTAAATACTATAATAACTAAGACGAGTTAAATGAATGCACAGAATTAAAAGAGCAAATTTTAGATGTATAAACTAAAAAAATAGATACTATAAGTTTGATTCTAAATTTATAACTAAATATTTTGAGATCAACGTTAATTACTTACATTTCTAAAAAGTCACGTTTTACAAGCTCAAGGCAAAATCTTGGTGAATAACTGGTCATAATTCTTTTTACATAGATCTACTATTTAGTACATGTTTGTGTTGTGCACATATATTTATTTTCAAACAAACATTTATTATCAGGTACTTTTAAAGAAAACTTCTCATAAATAAACATAATTAAGTTTAATGAATAAAATTAAACTTTAATTTCTTTTTTAAATAAACCAAGCTTAGATTTCCAATTATAATTATTGCTTAAAAAACGAGTCAAGGTTGCTAAATCTATTATTTTTTTTATAAAATCAAACCTAAATTTCTAGCTGTTTGAATACTTTTCACCTATACTGGGAAGTGTATGTATAACAATAATATGATGTGAGAAGAAAATAGATAGTGCTGTTGTTAACTGCTCAGTAGGTAGGGTATAAGTCCTGGCATTAGGTTCAACGTAGCCTATTTTCCGTTTTTTCATTGACTGTTGAGGGATAAGTTCAACCTAGCGTTAACTGCACTTTGACAAATCAAAAGGATAAAAGAGTGACATTTTTTTTAACATTCAACTACCAGTCCTATTCAAAGAACATTTACATGTATAAAATTATAAATTTTACGAATCAGTTTCTCCTGCTCGTTACAACGAATAAATTGATTCGAAAAACATTGTTTAATACTTATATTTTATTTAAAATTGTTGAATATTTCCAATTTTATTTTCTATAAACCGCATTCGTTTCATGCATGATGTAACACAGGCAGACAAATATATCGTTGTCGTGTTTATTTTATTTTATTTTTTTCCTGTGGGAGAAGGAACTGACACCCCAAAACAAGACTAAAAATCGTTGTCATGTATTAAATGATACTTTGATAATTTTTTTCCAAAATCTAATTGTAATTTTTGAAAGTATATTGGATAGACTGTGATTCTGTTATTCTCGCAGGCTAACGTTGCTATTGGGTCCGCCAAGCTCCGGAAAAACAACACTACTATTAGCACTTGCTGGTAGGCTAGGACCCGGGTTGCAGGTACTAAGTTTTCCAATTACTCTATCAAATTAAAATGGGGTTTCTTTTTGTCTGGACGCCCCACTACTTTGCCAATATTATTGAAAATTCTTGCCAGACAAGGTGCTTTTTAAGCTTAATGCCGATCGAGTATCGGCACAAATTGCTTGGAAATCGAAATGAATACGAACAACTTTCCAAAATGTAATAAACTCTCTATTCGGAGCCTTTTCTACACTCTGTTTGGAGTTATCCATACTCGAGATTTTCGTTTTTGGTGCCATTATCCATAATAAATGGATGTAAAGAAAATAAAATCTTGTCCATTATTTATAAGTAGTGCAGTGGTTACTAAAGTATTGATTTGTATGGTGTAAGTTGATAACGGAAAAGTTGATTTTAAAAGTACAGTCTTCAATTTTATTGGTTTTTTGGCACAAACCCACTGTTGACGTTTTTCTTCCCTTATTTTTTTTCCAAAGAAGAAAACAATCAAATTGTCGAATTTATCTTCAAAGTTGGCTTTTTCACTGTTATCTTAGATCGTGTAAAAAGTACCTTTTTCATAAATGGAATTTTATTCTTCTCTAAAGAAACAGAATTTTGTTTTCAATTAGACTGAACTGGATAGAAAAAAAGCTGATAAATGCCTTCTCTTTGATTTATACTTGATCATTTATGCCAATACTCTACTCTGGATTTATATATTGGTTTCTTTCCCCGATCTCATGTATGTATTTATGCCGTTTGAAGATGTCTGGGAACATTACATACAATGGACATGGTCTGAAAGAGTTTGTTCCTTAGAGGACTGCTGCTTATATCAGCCAACAAGATTGGCATGTGGCAGAGATGACCGTGAGGGAAACTCTCCAGTTTGCTGGTCGTTGTCAAGGCGTTGGATTTAAATTTGGTATATTTCTTATGTGATTGTCTTAACAAGTTTAATTTGCAAGTTTATATGCTAATTCTAAATCGTGGACTCTTACCAGATATGTTGCTAGAACTTGCCAGAAGAGAAAAGAATGCTGGAATAAAACCAGATGAAGATCTTGATCTATTCATGAAGGTAACCTTGCATTTTTTTTCTCTGAAATTGATGAACTTCATTCAGGGATACAAATTAATTCACTCTAGTTTCTTTTGTAGTCATTTGCTCTTGGGGGACTAGAAACAAATCTTGTGGTGGAGTACATCATGAAGGTACAAATCTAAGAACTATATTACTCTTGTAAAAAAAAGTTGTTACTCTTGAATGCACAACGATTTTTCTTGTGATTATGACCTGAGGTCCTGAATTTTTATTTGTATTTGATTTTTTTTTTATTATTAATGGTGTTCGTTATGCCTAATAATTATTTGTTGGATACAATTTGAGTGTGTTTGAAGTGAGAAAGTCCCCGCATAAGAAGAATTAGAGAAAGAATGGAGGATTATCGCCATGGATTACACGCCAAAATTGAATGCTGGACTAAGCTGATGATTGGATCATATTATTGTGACGACTCGTAAACTAAATCATGACAAGTTAACTAAAATACTCTCCTTAAGTCCATCACTGTAAAAATTATGCACAAGAAAATACGAAATCCACGTGTTAATATATTATTAGATGAATGTTAAATTAGAAAAAAATTAAAAGCAAGACGTTTGACAAAAGTAACGATGGATTATAATAAAGGACCACAAAGCAAGGAAGTAACCATGGTGAAATAATCTGAATTTTCTTGCAGCCTGAGAATCTAGATGGAAAAAAATAGATAAAGAAAGAGACATACCTAACTTTTTCATACGCTGGTCTAGATAGAACATATAAATGACTAGAATAAATTTTTGGTCTCTTGCATACTTTTGCTTTAGTATTGTCTGTTAAAATATCTTTGTTAGATTAAATTGGTTATTTTATCAATTTACTAAACTAATTTTGTCAACTTGTTAACGCATGTATGTGAGAAATGTCCTGTCATATAAACTATATATTGTTTTGTCAAGCAAAATTAAAACCATTAGTCCAAAATTATTCACTAAGGCCACATGCTAACCTCGTTTAACGTTTCAACAAGTGATATCAATGAAGATTCACAAGCCACCATTATCTACTACGCGTCTTGTATCTGAATTATATCGTTCTTTTCGTTTTGTAGTCTTTTTGAATTTGAACAAATACTAAAATATTTCTCACAAAGATATTAGGTTTGGACATATGTGGTGACACATTGGTGGGAGATGAAATGCTCAAGGGCATCTCAGGGGGGCAAAAGAAACGTCTTACAACAGGTTAAAGACATCATCACTTTGTCGTGTGTACTAGCACGTTAGATGTGTTTGACATGTGATAATCAGTTTATGTTTGATTTACAGGTGAACTATTAATTGGTCCAGCAAGAGTGCTATTCATGGATGAGATATCAACTGGTCTTGATAGTTCAACTACTTATCAAATTATCAGATATCTTAAGCATTCAACCCGTGCACTTGATGCGACCACAATTGTATCTCTTCTTCAACCAGCACCCGAGACCTACGAATTGTTTGATGATGTTATTCTTTTGTGCGAGGGTCAGATTGTATATCAAGGCCCCCGTGAAGCTGCTGTTGATTTTTTCAGACAAATGGGATTCAGTTGTCCAGAGCGGAAAAATGTAGCAGATTTCTTGCAAGAAGTGAGTACTAATAACCACATTGGAATTTATGTTTCGGCTATATTTGATTTAGTGACGGTTCACTTCAGACTTCAAATTCTTCTGAACAGGTAACGTCTAAGAAGGACCAAGAGCAGTACTGGTCTGTTCTCGATCGCCCTTACCGATATGTACCTGTTGGAAAGTTCGCCGAAGCATTTTCCTTATATCGTGAGGGCAGGCTTTTGTCTGAGCAACTAAATACACCTTTCGATAGACGCCATAATCATCCAGCTGCCTTGGCAACTCTTAGCTATGGCGCCAAAAGGCTTGAACTTCTCAAGACTAATTATCAGTGGCAGAAGCTTCTCATGAAACGGAATTCATTTATCTATGTTTTTAAGTTTGTTCAGGTAATCTTACCGATATAAATCCACGGTTAAAACGTACGACAGTTAATTTATAATTGTTTTAAAGCAATTCTCGTGATAAAATAAATGAGCTAAGAAAATAAAACAATAACTCTTGTGTAGTCCCTTAATCTAGATAATTTTTCGTTTAATTTGATGTGAAAATATGTTGTAGTCATATCGTAGTCTCTTTGTTTTTTTTGTACATAGCTGTGGAAAATTTTGACTTTTTATTGGTTCTAAGATGGATATGTAACAATGTAAGGATTATATGGAGCTGATCTTGACCCTTATGTATTATTTTCAGCTACTTTTGGTGGCCTTAATTACAATGAGTGTTTTCTTCCGAACAACAATGCACCATAATACAATTGACGATGGGGGCCTATATCTTGGATCACTGTACTTTTCTATGGTTATTATTCTTTTCAATGGTTTTACCGAGGTGTCAATGTTAGTTGCAAAACTTCCAGTCCTTTACAAGCACAGAGATCTGCACTTCTATCCTAGCTGGGCATATACACTGCCTTCTTGGTTCCTTAGTATCCCAACTTCCGCGATAGAGGCTGGATGTTGGGTGGCTGTCACATACTATGCAATTGGATATGATCCTTCGATTACCAGGTAACTCTTATATTCACTTAGTGATTTCGTTTATTCTTAGTGTTTTTCTTACCTGAATATTTTTGTTTACTTCTGGATTTACAGATTTTTTCAGCAGTTCTTGCTTTTCTTCTTTCTGCACCAGATGTCTATAGGTCTGTTTCGTTTGATAGGATCTCTGGGCCGAAATATGATAGTATCCAATACCTTTGGATCCTTTGCCATGTTGGTTGTAATGGCTCTTGGCGGATATATAATTTCTAGAGGTTGAACGGGAGTATATTTTCATGTTTCTAAAGTCGATTTGATAAAGTAGTTTTTTTTACTTTCTATCTCATTTTTGGGCAGACCGTATACCTGTTTGGTGGATATGGGGTTTTTGGATTTCTCCTTTGATGTATGCACAAAATTCAGCTTCAGTGAACGAGTTTCTTGGACATTCTTGGGATAAGGTATAATCCTTCTTGTGATTATAGGAACGTGATTCTTTCATAACCATTGTAACTATTTTTCTAGTTGCAAAACGAGGATGATAATGTTAATTTTCTTACTGCGTTTGAAAATGTACTCACTATTTAATCTTTTTACAGAAAGCTGGAAATCAGACGACCCACTCATTGGGTGTGGAAGTACTAAAACAGCGGAGTTTGTATGCAGAAAGCTATTGGTATTGGATTGGTCTTGGGGCAATGGTTGGATACACAATTTTGTTCAACATTCTATTTACAATATTCTTGGCTTACCTTAATCGTAAGACACGTTATTCTCCATATAATCCCGTTCTAATGTTACGGTGCCTTCTGGTGCTTTATAGACCAAAATGAACTTGTGTTTAGTAATATTTTTATGATATATTCCTAAACTTCACTTCAGCCATGGGAAGACAACAAGCTATAGTTTCAAAGGATGAGCTTCAAGAAAGAGAAAAGAGAAGAATAGGTGAAAGTGTTGTTATTGAGCTGAGAGAGTACTTGCAGCGATCGGCATCAAGTGGTTTGTAAATTATGACTTGTTCACGTGTTTGTGTTGGATAGTTTCATTTCATCTAATTCTCATATTCTCCCAGGAAAGCATTTTAAGCAAAAAGGAATGGTTCTTCCATTTCAACCACTATCCATGGTTTTCAGCAATATCAATTATTATGTGGATGTTCCTTTGGTATGTAAAATAATCGTTATCTTTATTTTGTAAAATTTAATTTACGGTAAATGCTAACTTATTCAATTGTTGCTTCAGGAATTGAAACAACAAGGGATACTAGAGGACAGGTTACCGCTGCTTGTTAATGTTACTGGATCCTTTAGACCTGGTGTGTTGACAGCATTGGTTGGAGTAAGCGGTGCCGGAAAAACGACGCTGATGGATGTACTAGCTGGAAGAAAAACTGGCGGAGTCATAGAAGGGGGTGTATATATATCTGGTTATCCCAAAAGACAAGACACTTTTGCTAGAATTTCTGGTTACTGTGAGCAGACTGATGTTCATTCTCCTTGTTTGACTGTTTGGGAATCCTTACTGTTCTCTGCTTGGCTTCGATTGTCTTCAGATGTTGACTTGGAGACACAAAAGGTGTGAAACATAGTATTTATAGACACCTTCTGGTATTGTTTTGATAAAAATAAGTACATAACTTCCCCCTTTTGACGACCAGGCCTTCGTTGAGGAGATAATGGAGCTTGTGGAACTCACCCCGTTACGTGGAGCACTAGTGGGTCTACCCGGAATTGATGGTTTGTCAACTGAACAACGAAAACGGTTGACTATAGCAGTGGAACTGGTTGCCAACCCTTCTATAGTCTTCATGGATGAGCCCACTTCTGGATTGGATGCCCGTGCCGCAGCCATTGTGATGAGAACTGTAAGGAATATAGTTAATACTGGGAGAACAATAGTGTGCACGATCCATCAGCCTAGCATTGACATTTTTGAATCATTTGATGAGGTATTCTCTTTATGAGGGTATTTTAAGCATTTCATTTAAGCATTGATATTTGGAATTTTACTTTATCCATAGGCAATATATCCTCTCTCCCATGGAGCAACCAACTTTTTACTTTTAGCTGACATTATTATATTGTTGTTATACCGTAATTTACTTCAATTATGGCCGTGTGCGTATAAAAGATGGCCTAGCTTTTTTATTTTTATATTTTGATTTTCCCGACCATGTCTA